CTTTGAGGTTGGCGATGTTCTGGATGTGTTTTACATAAAACTGGTGAAGCGGAAGAGCCGGGAAAGGCGTAGCACGTCCCGCTGGTTCATCCGATGCTGTGTGCTGTTTGAAAGACTGTTGCGGAACGGGATCTGGTTCCGGCGTAGTCGATTCTGGCAGGCCCAAAACGTGGATCATATCACATTGGACAAGCCGAAATTGAGTTTCCAGTGGGGAGAGGTGTCGAGTATTCATGACATCTTCACCATCGTCCTCGTCTGATCGAGAAGGATAAAGGGAGCCCATTGCCGAAGACCCAGCTTGTACCTCGGTGTCCTTGCGTTTACCACGATCCTTAGGACCGGGTAACGGATCCCCATCGGAGTCGGAAAAGTGAGCAGATGGGAGAATGGAAATGGCTGGGGGCGAAGAAGTATGACTCACAGTATGTGGAAGATGTAACTGATCACGGCGAGTCCTGCGTGGTTCATGCATAGTTGATGGGGTGACATTGGGGGCGAAATCAGGGGCAAGTTGTCTCATGGCCGAGTCGTGTAGTTCTGACCGTTCAGCGCCCATGCGTGTCGATAAAGCGATGCTGGGGGCGTAATGACTCACTCCCTACGCGTGTCCATCTTTTGGGGCGAGTTGACCCGCGTAGGGAGCGAACTGTCTCGCAAGTGGGGCGCATCTTCCTGCGGGAAAACTCGCCGCTGACATGGCCGAAACAGAGGCCGAAAAACGCCTAGAAGGCTTGGGGAAAAATCGGCCGTGGAGACTGACCCCGAATGTTTACGGCGTCTGGCCCGGTATTGGGATCAGTCTGAGGAACTCTGATTCTGACGAGTAATAATAATAATAATAATAATAATAATTACACATTTATACCGCGCAACATATCTGTCCAGAAACAGGACACCCAAGGCGCACATCAGGAAAAAAAAATTGGAGGAAAAAAGGTTCGAATCAATGAATGAAGCATTAATCAAATCACGAGAAGGTTTTGGTGTATAAGAAAGTCTTCAAATTTGACTTAAAACACAGTAGGGATGCAGTTTCGTGGATGTCTCTTGGGAGAGTGTTCCAGACTCGTGGTGCAGCTACTACGAGTGACCTGTCTCCCCACGACCGTCTTGATCTGATCTCCGACAACCTGTGGATGCTGCTGGAGCGAAGACCTGAACGGCGGAGAACATTAGTTTGAAAAAGCTCCAAGATGTACAGTGGAGATTGACCGGTAATTGCCTTAAAGGTTGTCATGGCAAGTTCGTATTGAAGTCGCTGTTTGATGGGGAGCCAGTGTAGTTGCTTGAGGATTGGTGTGATATGTGATGAAGACCGGGAACCGGAGATAAGACGTGCAGCTGTATTCTGCACCTTTTGCAGTCTCTTGATCTGTCGTTGAGGTAACCCAAATAATGTGGAATTGTACAAGTCTAGACGTAACAACGTCTTTTACGGTGAGACTTCCCGTTCTTGGCCTGGCGACCGCGTTTTTCTCCCGAAGAGGGTTCAGAAACTGGCGGTGGCGCGGGTAGTCTGGAACAGCTGGAAAACTCTGGAGTTGAAGATTAACTCCGAGGCCGCTGTAATTATCCCAACGGCGGGCCGAATCCTGGCGGGCCGGTGGTAGTTGGAGCCCACTCGGCTCGTGAAGCGGAGTAAGCCGGGGGGTCATCACCCATGGGGGACCCATGGGCTATCTCCAGTTGCCTGGTCAAGCCAAACGTGCCGGGGGCCTTGGACACGGAGCTCGATATGGCTTGTTCGGAGGCCGTGGAGGGCAATTTTGCGAGGGGGGGGGGTCCCCGTTTGCCCTTGCAGCTGACTGTCGAGGCTCGATGCTTATGGCTCTTACCGACAGGATGCTTATTCAGCTGTTTTTCCCTGTATTAAATGGCTGGTGGGGTGGGCTGACTGTAGCCCGGTCCTCGGCCTGTGCGGTCAACATCACCCGTTTCCGAGCGACGGAGTGAAATCTGCAGGCGGGGAGGGGTGCCTTCAGCAGATTCACGGTCGAGGTTACGTCCAGGGGAGGGGGGGTGCCTCCCGACCTTGTGCCTCTAGAGGGGCTGGCGGTCCCGTGGAAATTCCCTCCACGGGGCCCGTCGGGCCCTTAGCCAATCTCTTTTTGACGGATCTTTCCATTACAATTAACGTAAGAAAATTGAACGAAAATTCGTACTTACGGAGATCGAAACTCAGACAAATGAAGATAAACTCTACTAATTAAATTCAAAGAAATAAACTTGGACGTTGGATGGTGAAGAAAACCCGAGAATTTTTTTTTCCCGGGCCAGAAAATGATCTTTCACCATTCGACGCCAGGAGAACAGAGGGAGCTAAGATGGCGGTCGGGCCGCGGGCACGGTGGGTAGCCTATTGTGTGAACCATAGACATATACACGACATTATCTGCTTTTACGTTGTGAACTCTATGAGCAAAATGGGCTGCGTCATGCGTCCTGGCGCAATGCCCAAATTATCATTTGGCTTCGATTTACGCACATACTTCATATGTATACCATGTATGTTCAGGCCAGTGGCCCCAACGCACTTGTGCACCACTTAGTTGTTTTTTTTCTCACATGTGTACGGGACCAAACGATTCCAAATAACGCGCGCAGTGAGACTGCTCTCATCATGGGCGTGATCTTACGCGACGAGTCACGCCAATAATGGGCGTGATCTTACGCGACGAGTCACGCCAATAATGAGCATTCACGTACATTTTGTAATTTACATTATGCTGTATGCTTAGCATTTTGCTCACAGGCGCAATAGCAAATGTTGTGTCTAGTTTTTATTATATGTCTATGGTGTGAACTCTTAGCGGATGTATTGCGCCCTCTAGGGAAATATGCATAGGTAGTGGCTCTACGGGTAAGATGAGCACTGTAAACTCAATATTTTAAGATCGAAATTGTCCCCAAAAAAATTAAATTTAAAAACATCAAAAATTTTGAATGGCCCGTAACTCCCAAATAAAATTCAAAAATTTACTGGGAATATGAAAAGATCTAGCAAATCAAATCATGAATCTAATATAACGTAAATTTGGCATAAAATAAATGAATTGATTTGGGAACTTGTTGGGGGGGGGGGGCAATTTCATGGCGATCGTGCTTTATATCCCTTTCATAAAATACTTCAATTTGTGATCAACACACCTTGGAAATGTATGGTTTTTGAGTAAAATCCATACATGTACACATGTATATCTATTTTGTGATAACCTTGTGGAGACGTTATTCACCTATAGCAATTGCTCTGTGGAGAGGTATACAATCTTTTGTTCCCTATTGTGCACATGTCTCCAGAGGGTACAGTGTATCAAATTGTGCTGATGGTGTAAATCGAGGACACACACGTGCAACACCATCGATAAATCGAGGACAGAAACCAAATCGAGGACTCCTCGATTGGAAAACATGTACAAAACCAATGAGAGCTTTCGCGAAAAAGTTATTAAGTGAATAAACAATTGGAAAAGGGAAGAGGAACAAAGAAAATCCTCAATTTACACCATAAACAAACTGGCATAGGTGTGTGAGTTTGTCTGCACACACAACAAAGATGGTCACACATGTGGGCAAAATATACCACGATAATTGCAGCTTTAGCGAGTATCAAATTTTTCTCAAAAACAACACATCCAAAACGTATTGACGAACTTTTCGGTGCAAGTAGGCCATTGGTATGTACCGGTACATGGGCTTGAAAATGTGACACTTTTTCACGCTACTGTTTTCATGGTTTTGTTTATAGGTTTTACCAAATATTTGAATATTTGATCATCATTCGAATATGCGATCATCAACCGAATATTCAAATAGCCTTTTGCTGATTTTTTGGGTGAATATTCGAAAGATAAAAAACTACTGATGCTATTTTAATGGTAAAGTTGCTGCGTTTTGTTGTCATGCAGATGCAACTATTTGTTGATATGCAATAACTTTGTTTGTTGATGGCAGTTCAGCGTTTCCATCTTTTTAGCAGGTAAAGCCATTGACAGTTATAAACTACGCAAAACACTCCTGCGGCCCATAACATGGACCATAAGAAGATCAAGAAGATGTACAAGGGGGTCCTGAGGCCCGAGTCATTTGATGATCATAATCAAACTTATGAAATATATCAAGAGAGCAACCCTGCAACAACACTGCATACAATGATATAGATTATTGGATGGCTTTGAGGGGGTTTCGACTCGTGCAATATTGTTATAGTGAGTGCAATATATTCTTGTATCCCCCGAAAAAAAATAGCCATCCAAGGTTATTATTACTATTTACATTAGGCTGACTAGCTTGATCCGCAAAAAATAAATTTCAGGATACTGCCTTTATTTCTCAAATTTCGTTGAATTATCGCACCGCTCGAAGCTGCCACTGTAGGTGTTGATAACAGTGCGTGTACACCCTGCTAGTGCTGTGTGCTGCATCCCCATTCCGCGCACTACGCTCTGTTGACTGGTTGACTGTGACTTTCTATGCTCTGGATTGAGCGGGAACCAGCGAAAATTCCCGGTTGACTGCAATAACAATATTATTGAAGTCATCCGAGTACTTCATTGACATAATATTGCAGTCATCCAGGTACTTTTTATGAAAGCATACAATACGCCTATTTATTTTTAAAGCTGGAAGCCTGATATAATAGTAATGTACAATGTAATGACCACCAATCACGTAATGTGTACACAGGACCAAGAAAAACATCTCAAGATAGGAACAGAATGTAATGTCAAATGCCACCAGAATGACCAAATAGAATGTATAAATGTCGCTGATATTGAAAATATGGCAACAGCATAGACAAATAAGGCCATCACTGTACACTGATAAGTCCCCCTACAAAGGAAAAACAACTGTGCACACACTATTGTACAACGCAACTTCCAATAACGGATCATCTGAATAATAGCTAGTACAGCACTTCCGCCATTGAAGGGGGTCTTCTATTCATGATAGAAGTGACAGTTTGCCCGCACTGGTGTATAGATATTTAACATATTTACCTGAGCAAAGAGTTTGTACATGGGTTCCAAAATAAACTCCACAAAGCTACGCTGGGCTGTACTGACTGGAGATTTCTTGGTAAATTTCCGGCTAATAGAAGAAAAGGAAGTAATAAAAACATACACTTTAATTCTCATAATTCACATTTTTTAAAGGTGGTTGATGTTGAGTACGTAACAGTAATAACTGGGAAAATAACAATAATTACATGTATTGGCACCTTCCTTCTACATTTACTGGGACTGAGTAATTTATAAGGTGTTTTGAAATTTCACTCATTGTAATGATATTTATAACAATGCATTTTGATGCAACCGGGCTGGAAAAAAAAAGCTCTTCGTATCCATGTTGTTGCGCTAACACAGCTTGCATTGAGTCAATTGTCTCCCACAGAAATGTGTACATTTCTGTTGGAATTGATGAAAAATGCTTGTGGTAACTGTGATCTCGTCCAAACAGTGCTCGTAGTAATCATATGCGATTGTACACAGTTCAATGAGATTTGAAGGTTTGCATGGTGAAAAGGTAATAAGATAAGTGGTTTGCGGTAGCACCATGTGGTAAATCTCTTATGTGAGTATGTGTGGTTCTGAAAAGAACCAGAGAAAACTCAACATTTTAGACAGTATGCCCTGTCCCTCGTCAGTACACAGTTCCCTAGTCCATAAACAGAAGGATCTTCTGGTGATCCACGTGGATAGGTATAAAATGAAGATAGACATCCTTCAGTTTGATGGAAGTTGCCCACCAAAGTGTCTTCAGAGACTGGAGAACAGTTGAGAACATTTCAATCTGGAAGTGCTTTGGTCTGATGTGAATGTTAAAGTAAAGCTGAGGGTAGTTCCAGGTGGAAGAAGACAGACTTGTATTCGAGTCACCATACATTGAGTGCGAGTCTGCGTTACCTCTCCTGAGTCCGAGTCATGCATGTCGAGTTCAAGTCTGAGTCACAAGTCACAAAGGTTGAGTCCAAGTCCAAGTCCGAGTCACATTTAATGTATGTTGGAAATAAGGTACTACTAAAACCTCACAGTGGACATATGTCAATGTTTCCATTTTTCACAGATTTTATCTAATTTAATGAACTTGAAATACATGTACCGTAATTTTCGGAATATAAGCCGCGGCTTATACGTTGAATTTGCCCATAAAAATGTTTACTGCGGCTTATACACAGGGCGGCTTATACGCCGAGACTTGAAGAATAAAAATGACATTTACATGTGTATTTAATGTACTGGTACAAGAAGAGACGTGTTGCTGAAATAATTATCAATTAAGAAAGTCATCAACAAACCTAAAGCACGTCCCACAAAAAGATACCAAGCGGTAAAAAGTACGGCTAGTGAAAGCTGTCCCTTGGACATCGACAACCGGCCGTAGGTGATGCTGCCTATGCTGCATGCGTGCTGCATGGATTCCCCATGGACCACACCATTTGTTGTCATAAAGGGGTGCACTTTCTTGCGAACAATAATTACCAATATTTCCCCAGTTTAAAAATAGGAAAAAGACAACTAATACTTTTTATGGAGTTTGAAACATATCTTTATTTGATAATCAGTTGTTCAACGTCACAATATAATTTTTTTTCTTGAAATGTATTCAAGAAACGATGTAAAACTCAAAACAGGGGTGAAACCACCCCTACGAAATTAATGGATTCGTTCACAAAAATCTCGGCATCTTTTTGACTGTTTTCGAAGAAAGTTACGATCCAAACTTGAAGTTTTGACGTTACTACTTGTTGGTAATCACAACAATTTGATAAGTTTTGCTGTAAAAACGGACTTGTTTATCCTTTAGGACAAAACAACTCAGGGTCTGTTGCCACAAAGCAGGATTTGTAGCGCTCCAGTCAGACAACACATGGTGGGTTGCATACTCTCTCAAGTGCTGGGGGAAAATAATGTCATTCGCCGGCACAGGCTCACTGACGAGCCAGCCGGCAGCAATTCCCGTTTTTTATTTCTCATCATCAATTTCCATATTTGTTTGTAAGAGTAATCGACTGTAAATGATTTGACATAACATTTGTGGCCCATTTATAGCTTTCGTAGTGCAAATGGAACTGGTTCAGAGCATTTTGACTAGAATTTGGAGGCCTTACAAAATTGAACCGCTGCGGTTGTTGCGGCTTATACGCCGATGCGGCTTATACGCCGACTTCAAATCTTAATTTGCAGATTTTTGCGTGCTGCGGCTTCCGCGCGGCTTATATTTCGAAAATTACGGTATTGTTGATGTCCCCTAACTTGGCGTGGCCCCCTAACGTGGAGCACTTTGATTTTTCGTCTCTAGATCCTTGCTATGGCAAACATTTTACCTGTAATTTCACAGTAAGTGAAATTTTATCAGGCTCTAAACATTCCCGGTCAGTTAGCAGAGATATTTATTTTGGCATTATTTTCCGATTTTATTTCAAAGTGCACAAGTGAACGCTTTAAAAATGAGCCCAAAAATAAGAAAATTACTTTTCCGACAAACTTCTAGTTGGGTATCAGAGAAAAGAATGATAGTTTATCAAAAATGTTGAACTTTAAATATTTTCTCAAATCTTGAGGTGGGCTTTTCCAAGAGTTGTCAAGTGCGCCACATTAGAAATCACTCAGCCGATTTTGTGCCCAATTTCCAGATGCCACCGTTTCTGAATTGCGGACTAAATTTCATGACACTGAAATTGTTCACAGAGGTTCAACAGCAAGCATTATTTAGCTTAAAGCACCAGTATTTAACTTAATTCATTGAAGGTTTCGCAACACAGCATGGGGAAAGTCGGGGAAGCGTTGAAGTGCGCCAGGCTAGGTAATCTGGTTCCAAACACTATCAACTTCAGAAACATAGAAATTTTGGAAATAAATTTAGAATAGTCGGATTTGCCACGGTGCCTGCCACGTGCGATCAGCTTTACCGGAAAAATTCTCTAGGTGATCCAAATGCACATTTTTTTTGTACGGGCTGTGTGATCGTTATTTACAAGCTGATAGGAAAATTCATTACTCCATCGTCCATTTCTTTGAGACCAATGAGAACCCAAATTAATTCTTTTTAATGCTTTTTATTAAGTCCTTAAATTTAGATAATTCAATTAAAGACTTTCAGGACCCGCAGACACCTTGAACTGATGACCAGACTGCAGAGCATGTATTTATCAAGCACATGTTCACCATCCGCAAGAATTCAGGTGCAGATCCAGGGAAGGGGTTTGGGGGTTAAAAAAAACAGCTCTGTCAAAAATTAGTGTTTCTCCACAGAAATTCATAAAAAAAATGCTAACCCCCCCATCCCCCCCTCTGACACCCACATATTATTATACGGGTATTAATATACGCCTAAGCCCAAAGTAAGGACAGAGCCTGCTGGGTTACAAGGGGTTTTGTACACTATCCTTTAATACAGTGTTAATAATTGTCACATTTGAACAGCACCCCCATTGAAAGTATGGTACGAGTCACATTGGTTGATGCTTCTTGCCGTGTTTAGGGTTCACAGCTTAGTACATCCCCTGCAAACAAGGAATCACTATCGCCACCTCTCTTTCCAATGATTCCACTCCGAATAAATAACATTTTCAAATAAATAAACCAAACCTCGCCTTCTACTCACCCAAAAGTGAATTCCATGCAGTCCGTCGATTTTATTCTTTAGATAAAATTTGCGTCAGGGTGATGTAAATTCAATATTGGGTTTTGCCCTTCACTGACATATTTTTTTTTTATAAACAATGTAAACTCAACTAATAGTTTGGTTGCGGTACCTGCTGCTATATCAGATTCCAACCAGCCAGCCGATCCCGGCAAGCTCGGTGGTCAAAAGGTAAGATATCTCCATTAGTAAACAGGAGGTCGTGAGTTTGAGTCCCACCCGAGTGATTATTTCCCACAATCACTCTGGACAACACTGAGTATACATGTACAATGTTTAAATTTGTCAGTACTGTTCGGCCAAAAAAAAATGTTACTATACGGTAATTCTAAAATAATGCACTACCAGAGGCCACTTTTCTGTCAATGGCAATATTGTTTGTGAATCATTCCAATCCTTTTAGGGGGGTTAAAGCCCTTATGGAAATCACACACGACAAACAATCATCAAGCGCCGCAGTCTCGCTCACGCAGGCCACGTTTCCCGCCACAACAAACCCGCTGCTAAGCTCCTGCTATGGTCGCCCAAGGCGAAGCATTGCATCAGCCAACCACACATCACTCTGAAGACGCTCCTGGAGAAGGACACTAGGCTTGAAGGAAACAATCTACTCTTTGTAATGAGGGACAATGTAAAACACTCCAGTGTCCCATAATATCGATTGCTGCATGCAGACTTTTAATAGCCAGCATGCTTTATGTGCAACTTTAGACTGGTGCAGCATGCAGTTGCAGCTGGTGCGTATAACTTGATCGGCAAGTTCCCCCCTACTAAGGTTTGGGCTGATTCTACTAGCGAATACCTACCTGTCGAGTACTCCTACATATGCATTATTCCCTAGAGGGCGCCAGCCATACACTAATGTTTATTACCTACAGTGCCTTGCGGCCCGCCCACCATACTTCTTTTTTTCCCTAGCGTAAGGTGCATAAATGGACGCGTACGTGAAAGTGGGGAGATGTGTAGGCACTCTATGGGATAGTATTTGCTAGTAGAATCGGCCTACACCTTGGGGGGGGGGGGGGATTCTACTGCGCTCTACTTACCCATAGAATATTACTACAGATGAAGAATAGCACCGTTTTAGGTAGGTGGGTTCACGTACAACATGAGAGTGTATGATGTGGAAGACAGGCTGCAAGGAAGCGTGAACCCTAAGCCAACAAATTAAACTCACTAAAGTAAACCATATGAGTCAGCACTTACCATAAGGGGTTTATTAAAGCCGTCACTGGTTGGTACTGCAGGGTACCACTTGAGGGATCAGACAGGACACCAGAACTTATCCTCTGGGACAGAGGAGAAGGACTTTATATCAGGAACGAAGATGTCAGGCCGGGAGAATGTAGCCGACTTGTTCTTCATGAGAACGATAGTTCTTGGCAGTGCCAACCGTAAGGCTGGACTGGTAGAGGTGGAGGAGGAAATCGCCAACTTCGACTAGAGTTGTAGCGAATGGATCCACCGCACGCCATCTGCATCATTTATAGAAATACCGTAGTCCGCTGTCGTAAACAGTTCGGGCTGACTGACATCGACTATGGGCCGCATTGGCGGCAGCCTCCTGAGAAAGTCCAGCATGTCTGAAGGAACACTGGATAATGGCCAGCACGCCAGGTGTAGGCTCATCGGTTCTGGGTAAAGCAGGCCTGACTAAAGTTGACGAAGAAAGTCTGGCCAGTGTGGGAGGATGAGCAGGGCCTGTTAGAGAAGGCGGACAAGTCGTGGGAACTACGGATGTTCGCCACGCCAGGGGATCCGGAAATCTGGAAGAGTACACCTGGAGCTGGCGGTTCAGTAATGTTGCGAAAAGATCAATGGAAGGACGATCTAGCTGTAAAAAGATTGTCCGTGTGACACAGTTTGGGAGCCTCCACTCCGTGGGGTGAATCCAGCCCCGGGAGAGAGCGTCAGCTGTGGTGTTGTCTGTGCCCGCCAGATGGACCGCTCTGGGAGAGAGACGGCATGCTGGCGACAACAGTATGCTGACGTCATGCTGATGGACTGCGTGAGCAGCTGCTGCCCGCAATTCACCGATGATGAGCCAGTCGTCTAGATACATGAACACCTGTAGACCTTGACGATGGAGGGCACTGGCTAATGTTTTCACAATTCTGGTAAAGACTCGAGGGGCTGTGGACAAGCCGAAAGGAAGGGCTTGGAATTCGTATGTGGTGCCTTCGTAGGAAAATCGAAGGAACCTGGTGTCGTCTACGTGGATCGGAACGTGCAGATACGCGTCCGTGAGATCCAGGGAGACTGCACAGCGAGGGACCCACAGAGAGTCGAGGACAACAATGAAAACAACTTGTCAGTCAATGAACCTATTCAGTTTTAATTGGCACCGTGATATCGCTTGCGAAGTTCAGCACTGCGGTTTTTATACCAGCACACCATTTTTTGTGTTTTCACGCGCTGCATGAGGTGGCTAAAGTGGTTCCCGGGCTATCAGAGGGATTCTTTATGATGGCTCTCGTGCCGCCTGAACGAACAAGGTAGACAATAGGTGTTTACCAACCCATGTGCCTTGTTCAGCAAAGCACCGTAGGCGCTACAGCTGACCGATTTCAGCCAAGCAAAACAAAAACAACATATGGTAGATTAGCATATTCATTAGCGTGACTCGGCGTGACATGGCATGGGTCTCGGTATCGGCCAATGGAAGCTGGCAAAAAGGGTGATATTTGTTATTAATTAACAACTTGTGAAGGGGGCTTTTATCCAATTCGGGACAAATTTCACCCCTGCATTAAGAAGTGGTCATGTAAATGTGGAAGCAAGCGGCTTGCAGCCTGTGCGAAGCCTTGCTAGATGGGTACGGCGTGAGCTACTTGCAACCTGTGCGAAGCCTCAGGCACATGGTCTCATACCGTAAGAACCGGTGAACAGGAGTGAGGGACTGGCAAACTGTGCTGTGCCCTTAACGACCAATGAAATACCAAGAAAAACTGACCAAAATATCACAAAAACTTACTCAACTTGTAGAAACAATAATAGAAGACAAATAGTAGAATAAAACTATGAACTTAACTATAAAAATGGCCGAGTAAAGACTGAGAAAAAATAAGCAAAACGAGAGCTCTGTAAATATATGTCTTTCACAAAACGCCACTAAGAGAAAAGAGGAAGTATGGCAGGCGGGCAGGCGGGCGGGCGGGCCGCAAGGTACTGTGGGTAATAAATCTTAGTGTATGGCTGGCACCCATTAGGGAATAATGCATATGTAGCAATACTCTACGGGTAAGTAGAACGCAGTAGAATCAACTATTCGAGTATTCTGACAAATGCACACTGACTGATACTTGCATACTGAATTATTCGTACATGAACAGCCCAAAAATATCCCGGTTGGAGTTCTGATCAGGTTGGCTGGAGAGTTATTTATCCGATGAACGGCTTGAGCAGACAGATTTCTTTTTTCATGTTGGTGACGTTCGCCATTGTATAAGCACAGCGAGATAAGGTTTGTATGTGTGTAATTCACACGATGTACACTTTCGTATGTGTCACTGAAAAAAACATAGAATGAGTATTTTTATTTGGGGCCTTTTTGTGAGACATGCAGTGAGATGTTTTGTTTTCAGTTGTTTTGTTTTGTTTTGTTGTTTATTGGTGAAATTTGTGAGTCTGAATGAAATCTTGACTCACAGATGGAATCAGAATCGATTCCCAAAATGTTGAAGACACCCAGGCCTAGAAATCTTAACAAAGTTTAAAAGTGCCCAAATTTTACCAAGCGCTTTGAGGTAAAACTTAAATACATAAAGAATATTTTAATTTCACTATGTGAAGGCAAAATCACCAAGCTTGGACTTTTGAATCATTACAGCCAATAGCCCGGTTCATACTTCACACGAAAGCAAGTGCGAAGCAAAATTCATGTCGTCAACAATGGTGGACGCACTTCAAACGTATTGTTGACGTCAGGAAGTATGAACCAGGCTATAGTCATGCTTGTATGCATGTTATAGCCCATTCCAACTCACGTCTTAGGATTGAAGTAGATATCACCCCAGAGTCGCTTGGCAAACTCCCGATGGTCAATGCCTCCGTAGCAATCAGCATAGATCTTGGCAAAGGATGCAAGAGTGAAGCACATGCTATACTGTGAACTGGCAAAACAGATGTTGCCCAGCAATGGTGACACCATCATTGGCTCTGCCTCATCAGAGTACACACTGGAGAAGAAAGAAAAACATTCTTTTATTTTCTTTACAATAATATTTCAAATAAAACTTGAGATTTGCCTTTGTTGAGTTACAAATGCTGTGTGATCGGGCCAAGAACTACTTCATAGGACAGTGCCCAGATGTGAATACTTTTATGCCACAACAGAAAAACGGTTGTGAAATTCAGCCTTTTCAGTAAGGGCAGGCTTCAAAATTGAGCCCTCGCGAAGTCAGCGAAGTTCGCGAACTAATATTGATTCCAAGTTAGGAGTAAACTTCGAGCTGTGCAGGTTCATTTGCATCGCATGACAATGCGCCTTTGTTATGCTAAAACTATGCTAATATGCTACAGCTGCTGGGTTCGCGAAGTGCGCGAAACTGGCGTACGCGGAGTTCGCGTAAGCTACCGGTCAGTGCTCCGGTAATATTCAGGCTTAGTTGCGTCGGCGGTATTTGTTAAACCAGGAGCTAGCAAGGCGCTGTGTTCCCGAATATTTTTTGATAAGTGGCAAATTTCCGTCACATCGTTTGATAATGTTGACAACTTGAAATCAACTTCCTGAAATCGGAATTAAAATTCTTGCCGCAAGTTTCTTGGCCCTTGGGCAATATTTTAACTTCACACCTGCGGTATTCATCAAGCACAAAGACTGCCAAAATGTATTTTCAGAAAGCGTTTCGCCTCAAAATACGATCTATATTATTTGTATATGAACTGCACTTTTTTTTTATATAATTAAGCACCGATTGTCGTGATACGGAAAAGTGTACTATCCATGGCTTCCGATTTCCGCATTCTGTAGAACTTATTTACTGGTGATGTTGTCTGCATGTAGCCCTTTCTATTTTTCCTCCGTAAGGTAGAATTGAAGAGGAGTATATCAGGCCTAATACGTTTATCAATAAAACAACTTCAAGTTGCTGCGGATCTCCCCGGCCATGCTCAGAGTTTCACTCCGAAAATAAATACTTCCGTCTTTTTTGAAATGCCTTAGCAGTACATAACAAATTTTCTTTTGAAGGAGGTAATGCACCCAAACGCAAATATTTTAGCCGAACAATTATTTATCTTTATGCTTAATGACCGTAAAAGCAATTAAAATATCAACTGTAATTTTAGAGGGATAATAAAAAGCGTCCAATTAAGATAGAATAAATCATTTCCCGTTTCTTCAAAACATACATTTATATGGAAATTTCGTTACAGAATTGGAAAGAAATTATTATAGTAAGACACTGAAGAGAACGGTTAAATCAACTTTGACTATGCAGTTTAGAAACTGTTTTATGAATATTTACGAAGCCGACACACGTCACTAGATATCCTTGACAATAATGTTACTATGGAAATGCCTTGCACTAGTTAACCTATATATGGGATGTTTGGGCGGTTCTTATTGCCTATCAGTGAACTCCAGTTTGGCGGGAACGTTTTCACAGCTCGTCGCATTGGTGGTGACACGCCGTCGTCATGACGATCTACCTGTCTGTCTTGCGCTTCACAAGTGCCCACGCTCTTATTTGGGCAAGGAGCCAAACCAGCCAGACCAGTTTTGCGCCAGGCATCGTGTGGAGTTGCCGACGGCTGTTTAATGTGCAGGCTGTTGGGCTGAAACGCGGAGTTCGCGAACCTCATGCTCAGCTAGCTAGCTAGCTGTGCTGCCGTCGTGATCCCTGTATCAAAGGATGGGCCAACATGTAAAAGGTCGCATGGGAGCTGACTTCAAGCGCAATTGTAATGTTTTTGGATTGTACAGTACAATGTGTGCATGCACATGTATGTTGTTCTATATCATGTATGATTGCATTTTTACTCCGCATGGAATTCTGAAGCCTTTTACTTCTATGGGTGGATAAATTGTGATTCAGTTTTTGTTTTCTTTATTGTGTTCGGGTGAACTCATAAGTCTGAAATAAAGCAATTTTGAGGAGGGGGTGGATTTTGCATGCTTGTACATTATTATTATTTTTTTTTTTACAATTTTTACAATTTTCTTCTCGTCAAAGATCTCCATTAGGATCTGTACATTTCTAATATGATTGTTCTTTTACACTGAAGTTCAATGAGTAAATAAATATGAAATTAGTAAGTTACTTTATTATTGCATCATCGAACTCAAAGTTCACTGAGATATTATGTTGAATATGAGCTAGGCGGCAGGGTTTTGATTTATGAACGGGAATCAAAAACTATAATTATTATAATATACACGATTACCTTAAATTGTATGATAATTGATACACATCGAAGTGAATTGGGCATAATAATAATGGAATGTAGACACTACACGTATCATGGGCGGCTGCAGAGTTGGTCTGCTACTGCTACAGTACTATAGGCAAGATGATTAGTACATCAACAACATGTAGACTCATCTGATCTACGATGTGAAGACTCAGTCGGCCAAGGAAGGCAAAATTCTGCACCTCGTTCGTGTCATTTCTCACTGGACACGGGTGCTTCTTTGCATTTGGTGATAGACTCTGTAATGTTCGCGGGAGCCCTATCACATGTGCATGTGTTCCCATAACCTCAGTGCATTGTTCGGCCTGGAGCTGACTACGGTTATTGCGTGCTCATGCATTGCGTGCTCAAAATGGGAAAGTCCCGAGTTATTTACATGGCTGTTCATGTACAAGAATTTTTGTCATTCAGGCCGACAGCGTAAACGAAATAAACTAATAAAAAGCTGCGAATATTTTCCACAATAAATATACTGTACTGAATATGGGTAAGTTCAGTTGAACAGCTACTTCGCAGCTAGTGTTGGTAGATAACAAATTAGCACCATGTTCAATTCGCTGGGTAAAACGAAGTAAATCAGCAACCTCTGGAAGCAGCCCAGAAAATTCATCCATGGTGTGGTACTGCACCAAGGAGCATAGAGCAAAGAATGCAAGGACGAACTTGTTCTTTTATTTACGTCTTGTGTCAAACTACATCAACCAGTATTTGTGTGCTTCTCTATGGTTACGATGCGTCGAGCCGGTTGATTTGCGTTGACAGCTACAGCGCCGCGGACTTCGCGAACCTGTGCTACCGTCGTGATCCCTGCATCAGTACATCAACCAACGTGTAAAGGTTGCAGGGGGAGCTGACTCTAGTGCTACGCTGCAGCACAGATGCACACACTAATCTTGTAGACTATCTATTGTGTACCGTCCAAGCCACTACATGCTATGCGTGTACTTCACTACTTGTTTATGTTGTTCTGAAGGCTCAATACAAATGTAATTACTTTTTTTTCCTTCTCGTCGTCGAATCCTCCAGCATTTCCTTTTACTATAAGTGGGCACAAGTCATTTGGAGGTCTCGATATTTTTACGGCTTTGTTTTGTACGACACCGACAGTAAACGAAATAATCTAATAAAATAATACATTTTTTTTCACAATAATTGTTTTAATCAACATGGGTAATATGGTTAAAAAAAAAAATCACGAAACCATTTTTTTCGAGACTTCCATAAATGGGAGCGGTTTTATTTTTCATTTCAAATTCACTTATTATTCTTCAAAGATGTTGGATTAGGGCGTCCGACGAATATCATTTTTAGCGAAAAATAAAATTATCCTATTTTGTATCACCATGATGAAAATTACACAACAAAATCAATGGAGCTTGAATCAGCTAGCTTCATATGTGTTTGCATTTTGGAGATACAACAATTTAAATGGCCGAATTTGGAGTTTCAATTCAGTGAGATTTACATTATACTTGTATACTTTAAGCATGCTTTAAAAATCTTAATTCTGTTCCGGGAAAAAAATTCCAAATGGTCACAATTTATGGCCAACCGTCCGTTTTTCCCCCTAAATTCACACTGCACCAGACCAGCCGTCCCTTCGGAATGCCTTGATATCGGCGCCCAATATACGCAGTCAGTAGTTCGACCCAAAGGAACGGGCATTATTAATCTGAGCACACGTTGCGCAGGAAGTCAGGTCCCATGCAACCTTTATACGTTGATCGATGTATGTTGGCACGGGGAACACGACGGCAGCACAGCTGAGGTTCGCGAACTCCGCGTAGCTACGTAGCCTGATACAACCTGTACAGTAAACAGCCGTCGGCAGCTCCAAACGACGCCCGCATGCTTTGTCATGTCTGGCGCAAAAGGATTCTGGTCAGTTTGGCTACTCGCCAAAATATAAGGGTGTGGGAACTTGAAATTGTCACCGGCGCTGCGCAAGACAGACAGGTTTATCGTCATGACGACATTTCACCACCAATGAGATGAGCTGGGAAACGTTCGCGCCAAACTGATTTGATTGATAGACAATAAGACCCGCCCACACATCCCATATATAGGTTGTCTTGCGCAAGGCATATCTATAGTAACAATGTTGCCAAGGATATTTTAGTGACGTGTGGGTTTCGTAAAAATTCATGAGTGACAGTTTCTGTACTTCCCGATAGAGAGTTTATCAACAGTTGTCTTCAGTTTATTCGCATTTCTTTCCAAACCCGTTTTCGGTTAAACCAAAGGTAATAAAAATAATTACATGTACAATGTATTTCAATCATTTAATGTTTCATTTACTTGAACCGTGTTAAGCATAATACCGTAATTTAGGTTCCCGGGTAGTATTGTAAAAAAGTAATCAAAATAATTATTACACTTAATGGAGAGAAAAGTTTTTAAAACGATCTTTTAAAACGATCTTTCGTGTTTTTCCGTTAATTGGTTTTTGGACAATTGGTGTTTCCTTCAACTTTATTTTTGACAATTGAGTGATTGCATTATATAATACCAAAACATCTATATAATACCAAAACAGAAAGTTGTCCAAATATCCGTTCGGTTGTTTGACTAATTCCTGCAATAAAAAAATCGACATTTCACATGCTACTTCTGGACACTGATTGCGAACAGTCTCTGTTCGCAATGTACCAAAACAGAAAGTTGTCCAAATATCCGTTCGGTTGTTTGACTAATTCCTGCAATAAAAAAAATCGACATTTCACATGCTACTTCTGGACACTGATTGCGAACAGTCTCTGGAAAATACATCGGCACGCATGTTCGCTGACTTCGCGTTATGATAATAAGACGTGCAAGTGCTGTGAATTATTCAGTACGACCATTAACATAACAAAGGCGCAAGTTTCGCGCTACCTCATTAACTTGACCACGGATGGATGAGTAGCTCCGCGAAGTTCGCAAACTTGCTAGCTCTGGAAATATTCGCGAAGTTCGCGAACAGTTCGCGTAATCAATTTTGAAGGCTGCCCTAAAACCATTCATTTTCATTTGAAAAAAAAAATGCATTTTTTTGATATGCAAAATGTCAGTGCATGTGATGTACATGTATGTACATAACCGTTGAAAGGTATGTATGTAAATGACAGATTTTTTGTTAACAATTAATTTTAAATATCTATACATCAATTCAAATATCACTACATGGATATTTAATTCAAGTATTAACAAAATGTGTCATTTAAAGCCGGAGTCCATCATTTGCAGCTATCCAAAAAAGTAACTGGCTTAATTATTGTTGAAAAACATACTGGTTGAAAGATAGTAAGGGAACTAAACTCCCTGTGAAATTATTCTTTCTGGCAAGCTCTCATTTTGAAGAAATCAACGAAAGAAGGCCTTTCCAACAGTGCGTCTGAAGAAGCACCGTAGGAAAATTTAAATTAGTAGTTCATTTTGTTATTCGGCGCACCGCGCGCAAGCATTGGCACGACGCACAGACGCGCGCAGTTGCTATAATTCGTCGGATCAGTGCGCGACATCGCGTATAGCTGCAATTCAAAACAATTCTAAACATGATCTAGCAACTTTTGATTTGAAATTGAGATCCTAGAATACTGTTTTTCTCGGAATATACAGCTGAAGCTGAGCTGAAACTTCATCAGGTTAGTTTTTCAGTATCCTTCATTAGATTTTGAACACTTTTGTTGCTTCAAACGGACAAAATGCACAAATTACAAATGATAGACTATGTCTTTAAAACATACCATCCAACAGCTATGTACATGTAAATAACAGGTACTGACATTTTTCATACCCAAAAAATGCATTTCTTTTTAAATGAAAACGAACGGTTTTACTGAAAAGGCTGACTTTCATGATCCTTTTGTCTGTGGTGGCATGTTTGATTTTGGACAACTAATTTTCTAAGCACTAGAATTAAAAATAAAATACTTAACTATCTTATCTAGAATTAGTAATAAAATACTTAAAGATCTTATAAAATCAGGCCTCGATCTTCAGCAAAAAAGGGGCAGGCCACTTTGGCCTTGCCCCCATCAAAATTCCACAGGGCACCAAGGCCAACTCAAGGGGGCACCAAGGCCAATCATTTCAAAACCTTTAATTTACATTTATTTACAGCCAGTGTATACACACCTATTTTCTAGGTCACATAAAGTGAGTTTGCCCTTAATTTTGTTCTGAGAGTAGCCCACCGGGCTAGTAAATTGTGTTTTTAACTAGCCCGCAGAAACTTTTACTAGCAAATGAAATGTTTGAAAAATACATAACAATCAAAGCAGGTTTAATATTGACTACTGAGAAGGTTAACTTTTGTTCATGGCTAGAAATCACTGTCGCTGGTAGTGCAGGGCTCGAATTTTATGAAAAAAGTACTAGACAGCAGGCCTTGTAACTGAAGAATCTTACTGGACCTGAACTATTTTAACAAGACCTGTGTCATAAAAAAGAAAAAAACAAAATGCTATCATTTACAAGTCACCCGTTTCGTGTGTGCACTTGGCTAGTTCCCCAGGAAAATTAGTCTTTCTCTTGCCAGCGGGCACTGCAGTCCTTCATTTAAAGAAAATCCAATAGAGCTATCGCTCTCCTCAAATTCTTGAGGAGAATAAATGGATTTTAAGGAGAGCGATTTGCTCTCCTTAAAATCCACGGATAAACAGTGGTGACACGACAGTAAACTTTGTTTTTGTTTCGTTTTGAATATCAGGATTTATTCAAGGGGCTGCATTTTTATTAGTTTTTGCATAATAATATGCTCAAGTGGCGTAACTTGTTTCGTTTTTGTAAAACAAGGTAAAATTAATATAAAAAACCTAACTAAATGGAGATTAATAAAAGGTTTGACTTTTGCTATACGCTTTCATTTTTTAATACAGTCGTCAGTTGGTTCATCACTTAATTATACTTGAAAAATGGAGTTAATAAACGGCACATAAACATGATAAAGCAACTGAATATTTGGTTTCAGATTTGTTAAAATTATATGAACATTTTCAGCCTGAACTTTTTTCATTGCAGCTACGAAAGCTATCCAAAAGGGCCTGAAAAATGACATATCGAAAATATTTGCCATTGATAATCGTAAAAATAATGGAAAATGCAGGTCAATGATACCATATGCACAATGCAGGTCACGATGAGAAGCTGGCTAACAATGTCTGAACTTTGCTTGGTACGAGTACGAGCGTGCCATGATGCACTGTGTGTTGTGGGCCGGCAATGAGCTTCGTTTTACGGTCGGAGATTTCGGTAAAACACAGTGCATCGTTTCACTTCATATACCAGTAGGGCTTCCTCGAAATAAATTCATCAACACAAGAAATACATACACAGACAACAGAGATCAAGTTCTGTGATTATAAGCTTGCAAAGATCGTCTTTCTCTATCGATGTTTTCTTGGCTTTTTTACGATGTCTATTCCGTCCGGCCTGCACGCAAAACACTGTGTAATCAGCGTGCATGCACCGCGCGCAACTATTGCATTGACTGGTTACCGCATTTCCATTACGCCTTCTTTGGCCCTTAGTGCGCGGCACAGCGGGAACCAGTCACTGCTGCACTAGCACGTACGGGCCCACGTGTTTTTATACATCGATGCAGCTCTGTATGTATATGTACGTACGTACGTCTGTAACTGGCATGATGGCAGCTTCATATGTACGAACACAACAGCGATAACCATAAAAAGACGTGTACATTTGTATTATTTCGCCGCGACTAGATGTTTATTGAATGGTGTTTGTATGCACAAATCCTCTACACAATATCCGTGATGTACATGTATGATTGTCATGACGGCACATGCAGAGGTAAAATACAAACATGGCAAAAGGGCACGCTGGCCAAGTTGGCCGCGACATGTGTATTTTTTGAAGGGGCATTGCGGCCAAGTTGGAAGGGCATGCGGCCATTGGCCGCGGTGGACGCGGTAAAGATCGAGGCCTGTATGAATACTTAAAGCAAGTTTCATATTAAAGAAAATATATTTGCCAAAAAGTATGTGAATGGAAAGTCTATATTACAAACAAAATAGCTGTTTGTGTTGGTCTAGTACCAATACTCACCTCATTAGCCCATTGATCTCTGTAATGATGTTTCGCAATTTGTAATAGGCATCTGCAGGTGGTAGTTTCAGCTCTAGCACGAGCCTGTCAAGCTTATTGATACATATGGTGACTGCCACCTGCTCTTGTATAGCATGCTTAATGAGACGCTCAGTATTCAACATGATACCCTCAGCTGCATCTACAAATATCACAGCACCATCACTCAGGCGGAACGCTGCCGTCACTTCATCAGAGAAATTGACGTGCCCTACAGAAAGAAGGCATTACAAAAAAATAGATTATGTCTGTTTGATGAACAGAACATTTCTGCATTATATATTCTATATGTTTTGGACACTTTTTAAGCTATTTTGTCCACTGCAGTCCAGCAACTGTTCAATTTAAAGAGGTTATGGAATGCCTGAAGACGTTTCCGTAATTTGTTGGGTATATGTAGCCTAAGGTGTGATGAAATACAAACGACTTTTGTTTCTGTCATGAAATGAATACAAAAGGTACGTTTGAGAGCTGTTTTTCAGATCCTGTTTTGGCCCGAACGTGCATTTTGTGTAAAAGTTGTCGCTGGGGGCAGCAAACAAAACATGGTAAAATCATGACGTAATAAACAGGACTCACGATGCAGCATAGTTCCAGCGAAACTTTTTGCAAATCAATCCACGCAACGACATGATTTTGTTTACAATCCACTGAGCAACATTTTGTATGGGCAGCCACATGCTCCATAAATTCAACCGTAGTTGGCAACAGCTTTTACTCTTGAAATCTTAATTGACAAGTTCATAATTTAAAAGAGCGATTTCTCCATTGACTCTTTGGTAGTTTCTGTTGATTATTCAGTGTTTTGATAGGTACAAAGTAATATTTATAGATTGTGGATCATTCTTTTGTGTTTGCCCTAACGGCCAACCATAGTAAGAAATGTCTATTACATCAACATCGTTCACATACGCTATGTCTTTTACATGTAGCACGTAAAGCTGGAAATTCACACCACATTTTTTTTGCAATAAATTTCCAATTTTCCCATCCGGGTGCCAGCATGGAGGAATAAAAATCCTCCACGGTGCCAGTTTGTCCAAAACACGAGATCGGATTTCAGCCGAACGGACAGAGCGCTGATACATGCACTGTACATTTCATACGGCAAGACTTTACAGCTTCCTTTTTTCAAGAGAGAATTTGGAATTGTTACATGTCTGTACAGAAAAACAATGGTAGTGCTGTACTGACACCCAACAGCGACAGTATAACTATAAGGCGACCGTGTGATGAGCCATATTCTCCAGCCAGCCCCGGCCGCCCCAGCCCTGCTCCACTGGGGCAGGGACGGGACCACACTCTATTTTTCACAGTGCATGTAAGAGAGCTATAGATGTTCTGTTAAGCTTCAAAGTTCAGGTAAGGCCAAAAAAAAAAGTCTCCGGTTTCTGGTATGGAGCTTGCCCAAAAAGTGGTGCGGCGACGCAGCTTCTTTTTTTTTTACCTGATTTTTTTTGTCTCAAATGTCGGCTGATGACTGCAAATGGTGCCCGACTAAACTTAGTGCAAATATATGGGAGTCCAGAGAGGCCACATAAAGCTGATTCTCGATCAAAACCCCATCTAAAAACACATTAAAATTGTGCAGCAGCAGGATTCCAGTCAAACCAGTGAGTTTGGCGGTTTTGAGACATCATCTTTCATTGAAAAAAACTTTTTCATTTTGCCGACGCACATGGCTACGGCGAAGCGCGCGAATACCAGAAACCGGAGACTTTTTTTTTTGGCCTAATGCCGTTAACATATTTTTAAATCGGACAATAAATAACTGCGATATGATTTGTTAATGATTTATAGAGAAGACTGTTTTTGGAATTGTCTATGGCCAATCTTGGAGAATCGTAGATATTTATTGGGAAAAAGTGGCGTCCATATATATGGCATTCTTACGTTAGTGCTGATTGTTTGTGGCAGGGCTCCATTTTTCCCTCGAATTTCGAACATGTCTTAAGTCGAGAGATTTATGAACAGAGCGTGAATATAATATTGTAGCCACGTTTACGGGTTGAGGTGAAATGGTAATCCCATAATTATGTGTGGTCTCCTGGCCTTGTTTACAGCTTTTTTTGGTAAACAATAAAGTTAACTATTTCAAAGTATGAGTAACTTCATCATTATCGAATCAGAATGTTAAAAACTGGAAAGAGAAAAGGAATACTTTTCTGTGGCAACCATATACATAACTAGAACGGCGAAGCCGCCATGGCTCGCTGTCCAAGGCAGGAGGGGAGGCTGGAGGTAGGGTTGGGGATGGGCACGATGGAAGGGGATCAGGATTCTTGTTGATGTGCCTAGGTGTAGGGGTCAGTTTTTAAATGTCAACATAAAAAGTCAACAGATTACCTAATAAATACATGTGTATATAGGTTAGCCGTCACTGTATTATGGGGGAGTTTTCCATTGTTAGGGTAATTAAGACCCAGTTGTGGATTTTTGCAGCCCCAACAGTGTCTTCTGCTCCCCATACTTGTATTATCATGGGAAAACTCTTGTGTAGTCGCCACAAATGGAGAACAAGAATGAGTATACATGTACATGTACATGTAGACACAGCACCATCACCACCTCCCCCAAACCTTACCCCATCCCAAAACCTTACCCCATCCCCAACCCGCCCCCTCCCCCACCCAACCCCCTACCCACACCCATTCCATCCTCCCCTAACCATCCCCACCCTATCACCTACACATCCCAACCCCACCCAAACTCCAATCCCTATCTCCTTCCCCCTCCCCTGACCCGTACCCTCCCCTACCCCAACCCCCTACATCCACCTACCCTATCTTCCCCTATCTGTCCTTACCCACCCTACACATCCCCATCCTACCACTTACTCGAATTCCAATATCCCGCCCACCCCATTCACCCACCCATACATCCCCACGTGACCCCATGCAACCCCTACTCTGATCCCTATATACTGTCCCCTCCCCTTATCCAACCCCTACAACAACCCATCCCTACCCATCCCCAACCCAACCCCTACTCCGATCCTATATCCCGCCCCCTGCCCAACCCCCTCCTAACCCAACCCCTACATCCATGCCCATCCTCTCCCTACCTGTCTCCCCCTACCTGTCTCTCCCTACCTGTTCCCACCCCACCCCTACAAATCCCCACCCCACCCAAACCAGTATTCCAACCCCTCTCCCCACCCCAACCTACCCCGCCCCACCCATCCTAGCTCCCCTACTCATCCTACTCACACAAACCCTAACTCCAACCCTATCCCCCACTCCACCCCACCCTCCCCTACCCCATCCCTACTCCAACCCCATAAACTAAAAGATCAACCCAGAAGCTCATGCACATCCCCAAAATGCATAGTGTACATGAACATGTTATACCGGTATACATTGTACATGTAACAATTAAAAACTTTAACATTTCCTTGAATTAAAGTTCCTCAATAAAATCATAAAATTTACTGCAATGATATGAACCTAACTGAAGTTATAAAGATGATACATGACAACTGCATTTAATTTATTTCCCCAAGTTAACTAGAACCAGAAACTTCAATATTTTTATCTGAACGCGGCCGGCCGGACGTGCTTACCAGGGACCACTTGTGGGGTACCTGTCCATTGTTGGAGGTACCCCGCAAGTGAAATCTTTAGAAATAGGGACAAAGGGACAACAATGGAGGTACCCCAGAAGTGTCCGCCCGCTGGAACGGACAGACGGACGGACAGACGAACGCCCCGACAGACGGACGGAAATTGGTATTACATAGGCTCGCATCTGCTTCGCAGCTCGCCAAAAAGCACCAGGCAACACGAAGGAATTGACCAGGGCCTGCGACTCTGCTAACCATACAACATTAGTGCCGTACGTGTATTCAAAAACAGCCTGACGATCTGCCGTCTCTTTGGACTGAATATTCACCAGAATAACCTGGGAATTGCCTGTAAATCATGAAGAAAGTTGCGGTAGATGTACATGCTCATCTAAAATTTTTAATTAACATAACACTTTGAGTTCTTGGATAAAACATTACTGTTTTTTTAACAGAAACGTCGTAGACCTACCACTCTTCACAACCGTGTTGTCCAGCGTTTTCAGCTGGACCAGTTGCAGTATCCATGTTTTTGCGGGTCTCTTTTTCAGGCAGTTTGGGCTCAAATTTATACGGAAGAACAGCTTAGAGGTCACCGTTTCCTTGTTCAATATACTCATCAAAAAAAAAAAAATGATGGAAAGGAATGTTAATCTCTGTCGATGTTTTCACTGCTTGACTCCGAGTCACATGTTGCTGGGGCGCGTGGGGCAACAGTAAACGAGTCCTGTTTAATACTACGTCACGATTTTTTTGATTTTACGAAGCTAGCATGAAGAACCCGACGACTGTTGATTTCAATTATGCGCTCGCAGACCAACAAATTACTCAAATGAATTTCAGTTTTATAAACATATAAACGCGTATTACAAAAAATTGGGAGTTTGTCATTATGATATACATATGGGTTTACTCTACAATAAAAAAAAAATTAAAAAACAAAACAACTTTCAGCATTCCACAACCTCTTTAACGCCCAACAAAGTCTGTATGACCATAGTTGCGATGGCAAGTCTTGTAGTTTGTATAGTTATAAGATAACACCTTTCAAAATTTAAAATTTAAACATTTGAGGAAAAAAAAACAAAGCTACAAAATACTACTCAGTAGTAACCTCACGTATGCATTTCTTCCATACAAGTGTGCACAACACATGTAGTATTCGGTGGTATTTGGTCCATGACCCCAAAAGAGCCTTAAGGGCATTAGGGTTAAATTATGCAACTTATACAGTAGATGATGTAACATGACTCATGATGACGTCATTATTATGCCATTTACCGGTACTTGGGGAAGTGTGGCCTAGCGGTAAGGGTTCGTGACTCATGATCAGAGGATCAGGGGTTCGAATCCTGCTGCTGGCCATACGCTCTGTCCTTGGGCAAGGCACTTTATCCCCACTTGCCTCTCTCCACCCAGGAGTATCAATGGGTCAGCATTAGCTGGGGAGTAACCTGCGATAGACTGGCATCCTGTCCAGGGGGAATAGAAATATTCTCAGTCATTTCATGCCACTGAAATCGGAGATAAATGCCGGCCTGATGGGCCATAGGCTCGGGACAGACTTATTTACCGGTACTTAGTACTAACTTATTAGCTTAGGATCTTTGTCTTTGCCTAAGTAATTAAATTTGATCTGATTTCATTTCATGTCAAAACATTAATCTACTCACCAAGTTCCATGACAATTGACCCTTGCCTCATATGTGCTTTAAAAAATCATATTTTTCACGTCATGACATCACACTTTGTACAAATTTTTGTGCATTTATATATGACCTAACAAACCTATTACAAAAAGAATTTTGAATTTAGCGTGTCTTGTTCTCGAGATATGCAGATGACATGAAAAAAATGGGAAGTCAATTAAAAAAATCACATGATGACGTCATCATGAATTCACTTCATTTTTCATCTATAACACATACATGTACCAAACTATGTATTCCAAGGTTCAAACCCAATTGGCCTTGTTGACCTCTAGATATAGAACTTTAAATTGTGTACCCTTAAAGGGCCCATGCAATGTAATTGTTTTAATGCAATCTCCTTGAAAATGCACCATTCTATCCCATTTAACCTTATTTTTGTTTTGCCATTTCGAAGGGTACAAATGTAGTTTGGTGTTTTTTGCCTTTTATGCTCATGCAAATGTCCATATCTAAGTACCCATCAAGTTTCATAATGATTGGACATTATCTTATATATATTTTAAACCACATTTTTATGACGTCATGATGACGTCACACATTATTTGAAATTTTGTGCATTTATATATGACCTAACAAACCTATTACAAAAAGAATTTTGTACTTAGCGTGCTTTGTTCTCGAGATATGCTGAGCCCAGTACTCTAGCAACGTTGTGCCCTAGGCTAACTTTAGTTTCAACCTCGTTTCCAACGGTAGCTAATGGGTGAGAGACTTGCTTCCTGTATCCCGATTTGATACTTCAATAGTAAGTAATGGATTTATAAGACATACTTTTCCTCTCCTCAAAGACAATCCTCCCTTTTCTATGTTGCTTATAAATGTACTATTTGTTTGCTTTAGAAAAAAAATGTGTTTTTGGATCTCACGTTGCAACAAATTTACCGTCTGTACCTCCGACACTGTATACAAAGCCAAATACTGATTTAAAGCATGATCAAGCATCAGACTTTTCTGTAACTAAATTGCAAACATGTGCAAGATTTTTGAACATGCAAGTAATCCAGTACAAGGGAGAACAGGTAGTGGGAGTGTACTGCTGACACAAAGGGGAGGAGGTTGAGTACTCTAATTACAGCTTTCTAAGGTCCAAAACCCATGTTGATGACAACTCTGTGAACATGACACGGATAGCTTTTTCATCCTCTCTTGATGTGTTTGTAGCTTACTCCGCATGGATGGAAATACCTGTATTGCTAATTTTGTACCGTAATTTTCGGAATATAAGCCGCGGCTTATACGTTGATTTTGCCCATGAAAATGTTTACTGCGGCTTATACACAGGGCGGCTTATACGCCGAGCCTTGAAGAATAAAAATGACATTTACATGTGAATTTAATGTTCTGGTATAAGAAAAGACGTGTTGCTGAAATAATTATCAATTAAGAAAGTCTTAAACAAACCGAAAGCACGTCCCACAAAAAGGTACCGAGCGGTAAAAAGTACGGCTAGTGAAAGCTGTCTCTTCGACATCGACAACCGGCCGTACGTGATGCTGCATATGCTGCATGCATGCTGCATGAATTCCCCATGGACCACACCATTTGTGGTAATAAGGGGTGTACTTTCAGGGGAACAATAATTACCAATATTTCCCCTGTTTAAAAAATGAAAAAAAGACAACTAATACTTTTTATGGAGTTTGAAACATATCTTAATTTGATAATCAGTTGTTCAACGTCACAATATATTTTTTTTCTTGAAATGTATTCAAGAAATGATTCTCAAAACAGTGGTGAAATCACCCCTTACAAAATTAATGGATTCATCCATAAAAATTTCAGCATCGTGTTGACTGTTTTCGAAGAAAATTACGATCCAAACTTGAATTTTTGACGTTACTACTCATAAGTAATCACAACAATTTGATAAGTTTTGCTGTAAAAATGGACTTGTTTATTCTTAGGACAAAACAACTCAACGTCTGTTGCCACAAAGCAGGATTTGTAGCACTCCAGTCAGACGACACATGGTGGGTTGCATACTCTTTCAAGTGCTGGGGGAAAATGTTATCATTCCAAGGCGCAGGCTCACTGACGAGCCAGCCGGCAGCAATTCCCGTTTTTTATTTCTCATCATCAATTTCCATATTTGTTTGTAATAGTATCGACTGTGAATGATTTGATATAACTTTTGTGGCCCTTTTTATGGCTTTCGTAGTGTAAATAGAACTGGTTCAGAGCATTTTGACTAGAATTTGGAGGCCTTACAAAATTGAAACCGCTGCGGTCGGTGCGGCTTATACGCCGGTGCGGCTTATACGACGGTGCGGCTTATACGCCGACTTCAAATCTTAATTTGCAGATTTTTGCCTGCTGCGGCCTATACGCCGCGCGGCTTATATTTCGAACATTACGGTAATCCCTTGTCTGTCTATAGTTTTTCTCAGCCATATCAATTAATGTTTGTTGTGTCTATTTTTAAGACTGCTCTTGTACAAGTACAAGCATACTAAAACTATTAAAGGTAGAGTACAGCACAATATATGTGGCCAATTTTGGACTACCTCCGTAAATACAGGCCACACTTGGAACATGTACATGTACCCGAAAATGTGGAACTTTGTCAAGTTTCTATTTTCACATTTAGACTTTGTTTGTAGGTAATTTGTCCAATCTTTTTCAGACATCCATATTTTGTGAAATTTCCAGGTCCGTTTGCACATGTTTGCGTATACATCTAAATTCCAACACGTAATTACACGAAAAGTAGATGTCTAAAAAAGGGGGGACTAATTTTCTATCGCTATAAAGAGGGCAAGTATGCTTCTAAAGCTAAAGCGTACGTAAACTACAAATAAAGTTTAAATGTGAAACCAAGTTTGACAAAGTTCTACATTTTCGGGTACATGTTCCAAGTGTGGCCTTTCTTTAGGGATGTAGTCCAGTAAATTGGAAACATTTATGGGGCTAGGTAGAGTAGATCATTTGCAGCTATCCAAAAAGTCCATTTGTAACTGACCAAATTATTGTTAAAAAGTTTACTTGGTTTAAAGATAGTAATGGCACTAAACTCCAAGTGAAATTATTCCTTCGGACAATGGATGTAAGAACAGTCAAATCCGACTCCGTTAATCAACGAACCAGGTGTAATTTATCAATTTCACAATGGCCAATTCAACTGCTTACCAGGGGTGTCCATGATGTTCATCAGGAAGTGTTTCCCCTTACTGTCTGGCATAACTAATGTGACTGGCTGAGCCTTGATGCTGACACCTCTCTATAGTAATGGAAAGAGGCAACGCACATTAAAGTGACGATCAGGAGCATCAAGTCACAAAACAAAGAAAAACAAAGTTTGAACATTTTCAAATGAATAATCTTGCAATGTGTAGGTGAAATTACGTAGTATAGTTTTTGTACCAATACATAATTTGATTTTGTTGTACGTATATTTGTGATTTCGTGGTAATGTAATGTATATATATATAACAGTTATATGTATCACCAGACAATTTCAAATGTTTAAGTATGTACGCTCAGGATTCCTTTACCTCTGCTGTATACCAACATTTTGGAACGAGGCTCAACCGTTGTGTGTGTGATCACCATTAATTCTGTTTTTTATATAAGTTTTGCAAACAAGGTTGAGGCTGTCTAGTTGGGAGCTGCCCAAGCCCGTTGCCAGCTCCGGGCATTGGGGGGGGGGGGGCACAGTACAAATAAGGGGGGCACACCACAAGAAAAAACACACTTACATATAATTTTTACGCTTATGGTTTTTGCCTATGGAGGGGCAGTTGCTCGTCAGGAGGCCCCCCCCCCCTTTGGTGACGGGCCTGGAGCTGACATGTTCCCCTTTGACAGGGGTCTAAAATATCTGCTTGTGGGTGATTGGGGCCCATTTTGTCATGTACTACAGGCAGGAATGTAGTCAAGTCCATCACTAGTCCCTGCAAGCCCTCCAGTCCCAATTCAACTCACAAGTGATACAAATGAGTTTTGACACAAGATATTCCTTATGAATGTGAATAGACTTGTGATAGACTTATGCAGTGTGTATTACAGTTAAGAATGTGAAAATTATGAACTTTAACACTGTCAAAGAGACAGACTTGTTTTTGAGTCTCCAATCATTGAGTCTGAGTCCCAGTCACCTCTCCCGAGTCCGATTCCTGAGTCATGCGGGTCGAGTCCGAGTCCAAAAGGTTGTGTCACCTTTAGGTTCTATATATCGGAAATAAATATTGAGTACTGCTAAAACCTCAGTGTAAATGTTTCCAATGTTTTCACAGCTTTTCCCTCAGTTAATGGACTGGAAATACATTGATTAGATTCCTGTTTGTCATTTTCTGTATTTTCATTTCTTTAAGTTTATTACTTTTTTTTGGTTATTTTCCTCAGCTACTTTCTGTGTAATTTTTTGTTTTGTATCACTATCTGTTTTTGCTTGTTGAGGTCAAACAATTACCAAATTACCGATAATGGGTCACTAGGGAGACATTCTAGTAGACTTACTTGTGCACAAATTTTTTCCAAACTTTATTAACCCACAACCCAAAATTTACCTTATCGTACCCGCACAAATTTTGGTATTTTGACTAGTTGGACCACGAGCAATCAATCCAGCACATTTGCGAACATACAATTTTGCCTATAAATAGGGGCTGAGGCATTTTGGGAGACATTGAAATGTCTCCCTAATTCCACATGTCTCCCAAAAGTGTTACTTCCGACACTAAGGTGTCTTCCAAATGGTACTATTTGTGGTTGCAATAGTAACAATCATACATGTATAACATGTAAAAAAAAAACATGGGATACAAACCATGTAAAACAAATCATGGGATACAAACCATGTAAAACAAACCATGGGATACAAACCATGTAAACACACCATGGGATACAAACCATGGGATACAAACCATGTAAACAAACCACGGGATACAAACCATGTAAACAAACCACAAGATATGCTATGCACCTGTATGCCTTGTCCTTTATTTTCACAAATTAACTTTAAAGGTAGAGTAGATCATTTGCAGCTATCCAAAAAATTCCTTAAAGGCAGTGGCGTCAATTGTTTCTCAAAAGTGGGGGGGGGGGGCATACCTTGATCAGAACTGATGCGAGCGCGAAGCCCTTACGGCGTGGGGTTCGGGGCCCGCTTAAGGGCCCCGAAAAATTGGATTCTAGATGTTCTGTGGTGTGATCTGAAGCAATTTCTTACCACTTTAACCAATATTTTCTAAGCAAAAGATACATTGTAGTACATAATAGGGCCCTGTAAATGAGACACGAGTTCAAAAATATGAGGGGGGGGGGGACATTTGATATTGTGTCCCCCATCCTTCAAAAAGTGGTGGGGGGAGGGACATGTCCCCCTGTCTCCCCCCCCCCCCCCCCCCAGGATTGAGGCCCATGCTTAAAGGTTACTCTAATTGAACATCTGTATGCTACTATGCCTGTACAGCGCATTGGGGTCTTATTGACGAAATGCGCTTTACAAGAGTGGTTTATTATCATTATCATTATACCCAGAGTGTTACGGCTAATTTGCATTTTTATGAATGAAGGAATGATCCATTTTCTTCAAAGGGTGGTGCAAACCATATTACCATGGACAATAATACACGGTGAGTCTTGACAATGAGGATGAAATAAAATTGAAGCAATGTCACGATGACGTCATCACATGACATGTGACGTCATATTAAATGTGCATATTATAAAGGCCTACATGTATATATCTACAGAACAACAGGTCCGATTTGGTTGCAAGTTGGTATATACATGTACTTAGACTGGGATATGTTACAGATGAGAATTGAAGTGACTCATGATGACGTCATCGCGTGTCACGTGACATCACAGTAAAAGTGCACATGTTGAAGGCCCATATCTACAGAACTACTGGCTCGATTGGGTTGATAGTGGGTATGTACCTAGACTGGGATGTGTTATAGATGAAAATTGAAGTGACGACATAATTACATCATCATACGTCATCATGTGTCACATGATGTCACATTAAAAGTGCATTTTGCTATGACCTATATCTCCAGAACTATCCGCTCCGTTCACAAGTACCCCCTCACCGGCAAAGAGAGTACAGTTGGGGGTGACCGAACGACGCCATCAATTCATTTGCTGCGAAGCGCGGCCACTGCACGTACATAGAACAAATCCCCTGGTGTACGTGCGTGACACACAAGGAACAGTGCGCATCAACCAGCGAAATGTCCCACCTATGGGACGTCGTTGCTATGTAAAAGGGCACCCTCTTTTGGTAGCATACAGAGCTCATAGGTCTGATTTGGTTGTATCTTGGTCTGTACCTAAGCTGAGATGTGTTATAGATGGACATTGAAGTGATATCATGATGACGTCAACACATGAAATCTGATCTCACATTTAAGGTGCATTTTTATAAGCCTACCACTTATCACTATGTCCCATCAGTCTATAACATGACATAAATATGCAACAACAAATTGTCAAAACAGCCATTTGTTTGTCCACAAACATAAAATTACATGTAGTTTATTTTTGTAATTCATAAATCCTGCATTTGGGTCAGTTTGTTTGAGATATTTCCTGATTTTTAGTGGCCTTGCAATGGCACAAGGGTCTTATCTGCAAAAACAAGAACTTTTGCAATTGCAACATAATGTCAGCAGTGTCCATCAGCCTACAGAATAAACATCCACAGAAAATAATGATAAATTTAAAACAAAACTAGAGGTTGTAGGAACAACTACACGGTGTTGGGCTATCATGTTTACGATGGCAAGAAATTTAACAAAAAGTTGATTAAAACACTGACATTCTAGAATGACAGTTAGAGAACGGTCAAAGGCGAGTTGATGCCCGTAAAAAGCAAAATCAGATCTCTCACAGCTGACTTTATATTCATTTTCATAGATTAATCACGTGGTCTTAACATATGACGCCTGGTATGCTGCTGTAGTGTAAACTTATCAAGTACAATTGTTACAAAAACCCATTAAATAGCTCATATCTCTAAAAATAAAGGTCGCACACCATTGGTGCAATAAAAAAAAATTAATTCTCGCCATACTCTCTTTACCCCAATGCGCATATTTTTAGAAAAAAAAAACCGCCCCATTTAAAAAAGCGCCCCAATTAGGTGCTTTTGCCAGCCGAACTTTTACTATTATTATTATTATTATTATGATTATTATTATTTATTTGGCATTAAAAAACATACAAGCTTTGAGTCTCATATGACATCATTCAAAGTCAAAAATGTGCTTCTGTTTATAGCAAGTTGTCACATAAACACTGGTTAACACTTAAGTTAGTCCATCAAATGGCTGTTACATGTGGCTCAATAGTTAACATAAAACAGTCGTAAAACCAGACACTACAAGAGACGAGCACACTGTTTTCAACCCAATCGGACTTACAGTTCTCTAGATATAGGACTTTACAATATGCACATTTTTGATGATGTCACGTGACCCATGATGACGTCACGATGACGTCACTCTTTGGGACACAATTTTGCTATAGGGACTATGCCTTTGGTAACTTTGAATGATGTATGACAAAGATTAATGCCAAAAGTGGTGGGCAGAAAAATCGTGTATAAAGTCTATGGGGTTTTGGCGACAAAAAGAAAACTAGAGATCTATGTCTGTTTGCAACAGAACATAGGGCTTTTCCGCATTATGATTTTTTTTATCAATAATACGTCTCTGACTATGCATGAACATAAAATCTGTCAAAGTTAGCCGGAAATCGGCTAAAACGGTCACCGTGGTCAGGATTTGACCTCAGCAACACGTGCGCTGCAGGCTGACTGACATACGATGTATGTGCGTATGTACAACGTACGTGCATGTACATACATGTGGACGTCCTGTGCATGTTTTAAAGCAGAGGTATCAACCTAAAGTTTTAAGCGTGCCCAAGGCATGTTTGAGTTCGCTTATTACCTCGAAGCTTTGATATGTTTTAGACCCACCCTTAAATCGATAATTAAAGTAAAAACTAATATAAAAACTGCCATGGTTGATTTTTCAGGAATTTTCAAAGGAAAAAAGGTCTTTTCATTATAACTTCCGGTCTGATGACGTCATACGCCTAAAACTTCTCACAAGTTCTAAGGAGGTCAAGGTCATCATATACACCAATATTTAGGCAATTCTGACAAACTTCACCACAGACATCTATTCAAAACACATTTTTGAAAGTTTTCAACCTGTCGCTAGAGGGCGCTCGAAGATTGCATGACGTCATCGGTAGATGATTTGA